CTCTCTCTCTCTCTCTCTCTCTCTCTCTCTCTCTCTCTCTCTCTCTCACCCTCGTGTTCGTTTCTTCTTTTCAGTCTTTAGCTTCTCTCCCTAGAAATGTTATTATTTTTTTGTTCGCCGACTCTTTCGTACGATCGTGTTTTTACTTATACGCCGTCAACTTTCCTCGTTCATCTGTCTTTACTTCCTCATCATCCCTCCTTCACCTATTCTGTCCCTCTTTCTGTCGAAACAAAAAAATAGGTGTTTAAACTGTGTATGCATTTAAAGTAATAATATTAATGATAATGTTTAATATTAATATTAATGATGATTGTAATTTATAATTATTAATATTTAATATATAAGTATCTAAGTAAATAACGATGGATCCACTTGTTCAGTACCGTAGGATTATGGCCCAATCGCTCTTCGGTGGTCACGCTGCCTCGCTATCTTGTTTGTTACTATCTTCTTGACGGTGTTGCTCTTTTCTTCTATAATTTATCATTTCATACTAGTATTTGATATTCGTTTTCACGTTGTGAACATTTTATTTACGATGATCGTTCATCACGCTCCTGAGTAACTTCGAGTAGGTTCTTTCTAGTATACCAGTTGTTGATCCTCTTGTCGACCATTGTTGAGAAAAGACTTAACCAAATCTTTGACTAAGAGAAAGCGTGGCTTCCGAAACGCGACTAGCAACAATTGTTTTCCTAACAGAACAAGTACGTGATCTGACTAAGAACCGTTAAGAAGAGAACCAAGAAATCTCTGACGAGATTCTAAAGATGTTAACTCTACTACGCGTTACATGATGAAGAGAAAACTTCACTTTCTTGAACGGTAACGTTTATAATCGGTTTTTTGATATAACTCTTTTCGACTAATCTCGCTTGTATCACACGCCTCCATATCTTCTAGCGACCAATTAGGCAAAAGAAATCTTTTTCTTTGCGCCAACAAGAAAAGGAGAGTCTTCTTCCTTCGATTTCGCAATGATACATTTGGCCCAAGATTCGAAACGAGACTAAATAGTATACGGCGTATAGTCATTCAAACTACGGATCATTGAGACAATGTTCCGAGACGAAGGAAGAAGGATATTTTGGGGGAAAGAATGGAAACAGAAGATTTGTGCTTTTTGTATTTCGCGATTCCGTGGCCTCTCGGAGGAGGCTTCTCGTTTTTATATTTCGAAGCCTCGAGCTACCGAAGCAATATGGTTTCTTATTCTTTATACGAATACAAAAAAAAAATATATATATATACATATACTGTCGACGAATAGCATGCAAAATTAACGATTTCTTAAGTCTCTAGTCATAGTAACGGCACACGCAGGAGAAAGCGAAAAGATAAAAAACAGGAAAGAGAGACAAAAGTTTGCGAGCAGAACACTTTGTGATTCTTTGAAGTTATTTTTTTTTTTTTTTTTTTTTTTTATATTGTTTTCATTTTCTCCGAAATAGTTTACTCATCCTCGAACAAGGATGGGAGAGCTGTTTTGTTTTTAACCATTTGATTTGCCGAGTGCATGGGAACACGTTTATTATTGAATCGATTGCGACGCATCAGCGACCGTCAGAAACATCGGCGAGAAAGCAAGTGAACGAATCGGCCTTTTTTTTTTTTTTTTTTTTTTTCTTGAACGTCGTAAGAGCATAAGGTGAATAAAAGTACTTGGAAAAATAAAACGTGGCGTTTTGGTTATTTTTTTACCGCTGCTCGGCTTTCGTTGTCATCCCGATGTCTTCTTAAACGATACACTCGTCCAAAATACAATCTCCCAGCTTTTTCGGTTTACCGTTCGCGTTGATTTCCGTTAAAAATCGATCGGGGAGAGATCGAGGAAGTTCTCTTGGGTCCTATTTCAACGTGAGAAATTGTTCGACGAGCTGGCGTGAAACGAGAAACGTAAGGAATAAAAAGGAAAAGAGGCGCCGACAAGAGTCATTCTAACTCTTACGATGGACGACGAGAAGCCATCAGGAATACTGCCTCTTTTTGAGTTACCAGCGAATAGAAAGTGCGATACACATTATATACATGTAGTACTTGTGGCGTACAACATAAAAAGAACATATTTACGACGCGTAACCTGCTGTTGAACTGGACCGTCAGGACGTGTCGGAATCGCACGAAGGAAGATGAAAATCGTAACGGGAACGACGAGAAGAGGATTATTCAAGAAGGATGAAAATCCATGTGTACACCCGAAAAAAAACAACAACAGACAACCGAGAGAGACTTACGTCTTCACTGTTAAATGATAGATAGTTACAAGAATTTCATCACTTTTTTATATATAAAAGTATATATATATATATGTATATGTATGTATATATACATACATGCATATAATGATAATAACAACAATAATAATGATAAATTATTATTATCGACGGTTAGACTAGCTCATTCGGTATCATCCTTCGCGGTCGTTGCTTTCACAGGGCGCGAAGAATGCCAATTCCCGTGTTTTTACTGTCCTCGTGAATGTAGAACTTGTAGTCCATGTTATCCTCCAGGAAAGCGTAGATTTATCATGGACACAGCGATCCTTGGTCCTTGGTCGCGGCACGTTTCGAGCCTCGTGGGTGCCCCTATCATCGTCATCGTCACTTCATGGGATACACCCTGGGAGAAAATCGTTTTCATGGATTCGAAGAAAATTTGGAACGAAGAGAAGAAGATCACTCTTGGGAGCAACGAAGGCATAACGCGCTGCGAACTCCAAGGAAAACTAAGAGATCCGAGATCTTACATTAGGATGTTGAAGGGGAAGAGTAATACGGTCTCGAAACGATCCTTCGGAGGTCAACACATCCCGGAGGTCATTCGCGCTTTTAAGGGATTATTATACTGGTGGACATTTCGAAAGAAGGCTAAATTTTATGAATTTTTCTTTTTTTATTAAATTTTTTTGCTACTGAAAAGTACAATTTATGGTGATGTTAAAAAAGAATATTGATAATAATGTATTGAAAATAACTAGGGGACAGTCATCCAAGGTCTGCAAGGTAGCCTACATATCGAAAAAAGAGATCAAATTTGTAAAGCACATTAGTCTAGTTGGTGTGTGATAATCGAATATTTTTAAATTCCCCTCAACGTCTTTCTTTTTTAAATCAGAGATATTTAAAAAGAGTTAAATGTTAACTTCTGTGAACATCAATTATTATCAACACTGAGATAGTTTACAAATGTATATGATTTCTTTTTTTTTTTTTTCTATTATATCTTGAGGTATCTTGGCTGAAGCTTAATTACGTTTCTTAAATTGTTTATGTACTTTCCACCAACCCAAAATGGCTAATTCAGCTAACATAATTTATAAAATCCACCCTTCTTTCAAAGCGTTCGAATAATCTCTTAATTAGCTAATCAAGTTAGAGAAAAACGCACGGCGCAGCATGTTTGCCCCGAAATCGCAATTAAGGATATTGCCCAATGAATGTTTCTCCGTACACTTAGGTATCGCTGTAGCTGTATCTGTATATCGCCACGTGTGTTTTCGTTTTTTCTGTTTTTTTTTTTTTTTTTTTTTCTTCAGAGAAATCGTGCGTAGATTTCCATGAGACAAGAACACGAACCGAATTCACGATTCGGTGAACACAAAGAAAGAGATCGTTGTCACAATTTAACGCTGGTTTTCGATCGATTTCGAAATTTGAAAACGACCGAAGAAATGCATCGATGGGCCAACACACGCGTCGCGCATCCTATTTAGTCAGATCCGTTTCTATCGATACTGTTGCGAATAGTCTTACATTGTTTATCTTTAAGATTTTAACACTGTTTACAAGATAACGTTTTTTCATAATAACCGTTCTCGTACATCTTTTGTAGACACTCAAACGGCGAGTACACCTTTGTGTGATGATTTCGTTCGTGATCCTCGCAAGAAGAACGGCGCTTTGGCTTCGGTTTTCGTAAAAAATATTAGGGCCTGGTTCACGAAAGAAAGAAAGACTCATGCGAGGGGAATGCCAAAGAGACGGGAAATTCGGGGGAATTCTACACGGTGTTCAAATAAGCGGAATAATGTTGCAGGCATTTTTCAACGAATTCGCGCGCGAACGTACGATGATTTTTTAATTCGATGCGGATTTCGCGAATTGGTTGCTTCGCACAATGAGAACGACTTTTGAAATTTTCGTTTCTCTCGTAACGTTCCAACGATGTTCGTAACATCGTACGAGAGAAATCTCTTTTCGAGAATTAGATTTTTATCCGTAGGTTCTCCACGTTCGAGGAGACTTTTCAACGCGTCGCGAGTCGTACACATAGCACGGCGTACATTTTATTTTTCCCGCCATGCACGATCGAATTTGCAATCACGCCGACGATTTCGTGAAATCATCAACGATCACCACGAGTTTCTGTTATTTTCTAAATTAAAATTTCTTTCTGATAACGTCAATTGCGACTCGGCATCGAAATTTCCATATCGCAGTGTTCTTTCGGTATTCACGACTCATTGAACTTTATCGACGTCCTTTGGAATTTATTTTTCATTTGAAGACATCTCCAATCGGACAGCACGCCGTAACATATCTTTGAGAAGCATTTTTATTGCATTATACACCTAAATGACGCAGTCGTTAAAATTGTTAACTGAATCAAGGACAACCTTTTCTTTTATATCCATATTTCTGAATGAATCGTTCTTTAAAATCTCTTTTACATTACATTTTCATTATCTTATATTTCGTTGAACCTTGCGCACGCGGCGACGCGAGAACACCAACGCACGATGACAATCCTCCTTTAAAAATAAAAAAAAAAAAAACAAATAAATAAATGAAAAAAAACGTAACGATGGTAGTACAAAGACGAGCAACTTTCACGGGGACCGTGAGAGGCTGGTTGCACTTGACCGGAAGAAAAGTGCACGAATCGCTTGGATTATCTTTGCACAATAAAGGCGGACCGACGCTCGAAGGCTCGTCTAAAAATAGGGATCAAGAGTACGCGAAGAATCAACGGAGAACGACGTTATTTTTCACGGACTAGAATAAAAAAAAGACTGACAAGCGCTCGAACGATGGGTGTTGATCATTTTCGCAAGATGTTTCCAACGAGGTTTTTCCGTTCGTTTTACCTACGACATGATTGCAAATTCGACGAATTCTCGCGTTTATCGGCGTACGCAGGTCCATCGCACACTCACAGTTCCGTTCATCGCGCTGTTCGATTTTAATCGCCTCTTTTCTCCATTAGACCAGTCTCCAGAGCCAGGAAATTGTCTTGGAAACTATTAGAAGTGAACGTTTTGAGGTGTTAATGGGTGTATTTTAATGTGAATGTAATTTATTTCGTTAATCTCTTGATTGAAAAGTGTGGGGAATCTTGATTGAGAATTTAAATTGATTGCGAGAAAGCTGATGTATTTCATTTAGCAGAAACGATCTCTGAGGTAAATATTAAGTAAAATTGTCGAAGCGGGTACATTTATTCGGTTGTTGTGCCATAAGTTCTGAACTATGCAGAATTTTGCAGAAGTGGGTCTCTGCAGAACTCTCTACGATCAACTGGAGAGATATAGATAAAATTGACTAATACTTTCGACTACTTAAACTAGGGAAATAATTTTGTTTAAATTTGTTAGAAAAAACCAAGTTTTTGAAGTACATCGAGTACGTTGAGGTCACAATCTAAATACTCCCGTCGACGCAATAAAATATCCACTTCAAGTTATCGCATTTTTGAAACTTCCGAGGATTGGTCTACGCCGCGATATCGCTGTCGCACTTCTGGATCGCGAAAAGAAGTCGAAAACTTCTCCTCGTGAGGGTGACGAGACAGAATTCAGAGCGGCGAGCTTTCCAAAACTTTTTCAGCGAGTCGAAGAAACTCTTTAATACTACAAGCATAGGCGTTAAGGTACTCTGTCTGTAACGTAACGTGTAAGAGCTGTCATGCATCACATAATTAATTAACTGCGACAGAAGCAACGGCAACCAACACTGTTACAATACGATAATAAGCGAACATAAGCCCAAAGAGACGTATACATGGCGTGACCAGGAAATTTCGATCGACGATCAAAAGTTGTGACTAGGGTTGTCAACTGTGTATTATCAAATACAGTGTATTTCCATCTCTACTACGCATACTTTAAGGTGTACTACTGTGTTTAGACAACTGTGGTTAGAATTTGTGATTTTTTTTTATCTTTTAGGAATAGTAAAAGTGTTAGATGATAGTATGGTGTCTTGTAAAGAAATTAATATTCGACCATTCGCTAGCTGCTATTGTAAATTATTCGTATATGAGTGCGATTAATTGTCGTAAATATGTCAGGAATGGTTTACCGAAAATTACCTATTAAATGCCCCAATCATATTACCTTATCCACGAGAGATTATGCTATCATATTCTACTTTTATTATTTCTACAAAATGAAAAGCACCACATTCTTACCAGAATTGATTCCGATAGTTTCCAAACGCAAACGAAAAAAGATTATTCCTTAAAAAAAAAAAAAGGATGACAACCGCAGTAGTAACAATCCCAAAACTTGATTCGATCATACTATCACCGTTCGTTTCTAATCGTCGATCGAGATTTCTTCGGGCACGGTCCAGAAAATAACTTACAATTAGGGAGCAACCGAATGCGTGCGTGTGTGAAAGTGAAAATGTTGTACGTAAACGAAGAATTCTGCGATTGAGTGTGCGCGTTCGATTAATGTCAGGCAACGTGAGAAATAGAGCGTGTGAGTGAGAGAAAGAGTGGGAGACTGGACATTTATAAATCTATTATTGTAATAATTATAGAGACAGTGGAGCATAATGTATCTGTACGTTTCTTTACTTCCTGCGATGAGCCAGAGAGCGGTAACGTAGTTCTTAAGAAGCACACGCGAAAAATAAAAAAAGAAATAAACGTGTGAGTTACATTAGGAAGTATAAAACGAGTGAAACGAACAGGAAAGGGAAATGGTCGAACGGAAAACTCGATTAACGACCGCTGATAGGAGGAAATAAAGAGCTGAGGAGAACGGTTCGACGCGAGATGCGACGGAAAGAAAATTTCGTTCGGAGATATCATCCTATATAAACGTATAAAGTATCATGAGCTTTTTGCCAAGCTTTTACGAGGACGCGGACGTGTTCGAGCAGAATTCCCTCCGGTGTCCTCGGGAACGACGAAAAACGTAAAAAAACGTCGGATACTATTGTTTAGTTTGCAAGCAACGGATCGTCATTACACATAATTATGAATTAATTATTCTTACTATTAATTACAGTTCGCCAGATCACCGCCATCATCGTTATTATTATTATATAATTGATGTGAGTGTGGACAAAAAGAAAAAATAAAGTGTACGTAGTAGAAGCTCCATCTACTTTGCCATCCGTCGTTTCGACGTTTTCGTTCTGTTTCTATTCGATTTCATCCGTATTAAGCATTTCGTGACCGTAGTAAAGTTTTGCCAAGAACAAATGTTTGTGTGGTCGATAATGTTTCATTCGAATACAGACCGAGTTTCCTATTTGTTTCTTCCACGCCTAACAATTTCGAACGTAACATTTTTATTTCAATACATAAAAGAAAAGTTTGCTTCGACTTAACTTACAGAATCTAAGATAATTATCAACGTGAAATCATTTCTTACAACATACAAAATCGGTTGTTCTCGGAAATTTTGCTTTTTTCCCATAATTTCAACGTACACGTGTTAGTTTCTATGTTTCAATGTTTCTTGACGATTTCGTACCGCATTCTCAAGTTCCCATCAGTTTTCTTCAACGACCTGCATCTCCAAGCTTTTCCTTGCTTTTCCGACACTCGCGTCTGGAATTTCCTTTTCCTGGGCATCGTCATCGCCGTTCACAGACACTTCCGTCGCCTCCTCTGTCTCTGTACTCCCAGTCTCCGAAACTTTTTTAGTTTTTGCGCCCGATTCGTTATTTTCACTGGCGCACTGCGTGTGATCGGTGACATCCTGGGTCCCATATGCAGAGTCTTCTAAAAGATTCATAAAGAACTTCCTACTGTCGTCGAATTGCTGAAAACAATAATAAATGTTAAGACCTTCGATAAAATTGGTAACCTGGTAAGCATAATCAACGAGCCACGCTCTTTAATTAGATTTCTTTCTCAAGAATGAAACTGTTACCACTTTCATCGTTACTTTAATTGACGGCGTACATGATAGCAACCCTCAATGTATTAAAACACAAAAATGGAACAATAGAAATTCGAATTACTAACGCGTTGCTGATTGCAGCTGTCGAATGGTTGCTGAAGAAGGAATTTCCTCACGGCCATGATGTCCCTGGATATTTTCATTAACCTTTCAGCCGACGTTTTGGCCTTCACCACCCACTGTTCGCTTTTTGGGGCATTTATGCTCTTCAGTATTCTATCTTTCAATCCCGCGTCCATTGTAGGATCTTCAAGGTTAACAGGTGGTTCTTCAGATTCTCCGAGTGCGTCCACGTTTGTCGGATTCGTTGAAATCACCTCGATCAATGGCTTTGTTTGTTTGTTTTCCGACTGTTTGGTCTCCCCTGGCGATAGAGCGTCGCGTTTCTTTTCTTCGGGGTCTATTCTGTTGTTCTTCGTGAAATCTGGCTCGATCAGGAGCTTCCTTTCACCCTTTAGGCGATCAAAATACTGACAGAACTCTTGATAGAAATCCAAACTGTTTTTCATTATCGACGGACCTTGTTTTTCAGCAGTTTCAGACTGTTTCAGGAGCTCCGCGATGGATCGAATGTCTGAAATATAATTGTAGTCCATGTATACGAAAATTTTAACGCGAAAGACTATAGCGTGGTATTGTAACTGCAGTAATTTTTTCAGTGTTGAAACTGTTCAGTGTTATCTAGATACCAAAAGTACCAATTTCCATTCAAAAAAATATACGTATGGAGCCCCTCTTTTCCCCCTCTAACAGTCACCTCAACAAATTTTATTTTCCGCTAAAAAAATTAGACCCTTTGTTAAACCGTAGTAAAAATGAAGTCGATATCTTCGTTAGTTTCCGAAACAATTTGTAATACTTTATCGCGTAAAATATTAATAACATTATATTTACCATTGCTGTTTCGAACGGATTCATCTTCTCGAGATTGTCCGTTGGTTGAGACAGCTTTCGCAGAATTTTCCAAGATTCTAGGAGAAGAAAAGTTTGACGAAATCAAACTACTAGTTGTACAAGTAAAAAAATCCATTTGATCGCATTTCGAGGATTTCGTATTCGTCTCGATATCCTTGTTCATTATCAAGCTTTCTATGCAGCTATCGATCAACGGTGATTCCTCCTTGCTAAACTTCCAAGCCTCTCTCGTTCGATGCCGTTCACGACTGTCGGATGCGACACCGTCATTTTTCTGAACGCTCGACCCAACTTCAGCGTCATTTTCGATTAGATGCGACTTTTTGCTTACTACTATGTCCATGCACTCGTAATCTCGCCCTCTTTTACACGATTTGGAAGGCTGACGCGACTTGTCCGCGTACAACGAAGTTATCAGCGTGCTTAAAGCCTGAACATCAGAGCTCTGATCCTCTTTTTCCTTCTTTGGAACCTTTCCATCACTTTCAACAGTTTTCTTTTCTTCTGTCGCACCTACGATTGTGTCTATAGATTCTGATTTCTGATTGATATTCCGTGGTTGCACGTTGACTTTCGTGCATTTTTCGTAACAATCGATTACTGTTATTACAGATTCGTTATCCGATTCACCATCTTCAGAATCCACTTTCACAGTTTCAATTTGTACAGGTCCCTCCCGAACTGCATCGAGACACTTTTTTGATTGTAAATTGTTAGCATTAGAATGAATCGCGTCTGCCGAAACGCATCTTCTTATAGTATTACTCGAATCTTGCGGAACTTCTTCGTCAGTCTCTTCCGTTTCTGCGATGGGCAACAATTCGTGGGAGCTGCGCGATATCGGCGTTCTCTCGAATTTCACGTTTCTCGGATTGTTATGCTCCAGCTCGTTAAACAAAGAATGAAACACTCCTGTGGCTACTTCTTTGTTTTCTTCTCTTTTAGGCGATCTACACGATATGGAATCGTCTTCGTTTTCCGGGTAAGTTTTTACATCTTGCAAAAGAAGCTTGGAACATGTCTTTAAATTCAGCAAATCGTAAACTCCTTGGAAGGACGAAGTTTCCCTCTTCTCTTCAGCATCTTCATTTCGCGAGGTTCGTTCGTTCGAGTTTGTTTTTGGAACGTCTTTGATGTCCACGGTAACCTTTTCCATTTTCTTCATCGCTTCTTCGTCCCTTTTCTTCATAATTTCTACAATCTTCAGCTTTCTCTCCTTCGCATTCCACCATTTAAGATCGTCGTTTCCTTTCGTCGAGGAAACTTGTAACGTCGACATCGTGGATTGTTTCTCTTCTTGTTTCTCGTTCTCATCAGGTACAGATGCAGGATTCCCATGATCTTTCTTGCCCCAGAACCCTTCGACGTCGCCATTTTTGAAGCAGATTTTATTCTCCTCGACAAACTTTTCCATTCCGACACAGAATTCCTTCATGTCCTTTCGAATGCTGGTCAGCTGACTACTTAAAGGACATCTATCGTCTCTTCTCCGATAATCGTCTAATATGTCCTTGCTTGGGGGTTGCTTCTCCAAGTTCTCCGTAACTTTGCTTATCTTTTTTTCCTCGTTGATTTCGGAGTCCAGAATATTGCAGGAAACGGAGCAATTTTCGTAAAGAGTCGTTCGATCATTAACTAAAATGAAAAGCTGGTAAGTGCTCGCAATTCCTGCTCGATTACCAAATAAAAACAATAGAAAGGTTTGTGCATCGCACGAAATATTAGCTGCATGAATTAGTATTGTAAATTATGTTTAGGTGGTGCTAGAAAACAATATATTTATGAACATTTTATATGTTGATACGACTGATCGACCGGCATCCAAAGAAACGAATAACAATAGTTGTTGACATAACAGCATTTTTCGTTTCTTTGAGAATTGGTGTGTTATTTACTATCGTCGTTCTTCTTCTGGTCGCTCGTGCAAGATCCAGCCGCAATTTCGGTCTCGTTGGTCGTCCCCAGGACGAGTTTCTCGTAATGGGCCAGTTCTCTTCCCAGAGCATAACCACCTGGTGGATCGTCGGTTGTTCTTCGCTCGTCCAAAATTTTCTTTCGCTGCCACTTCAGGTCGGCGTCGCTTGCCACGTATTCCTTCGATTCCCTTATTTCTTCTATCAGTTTTGGCGGTGACTTCGATGTCTTGGATATAGAAATGGAAGTCAGGACATTTTTACATAACACAAATAGCACAATTATTAAAGGTAAAATGTTGATATATTATATGAAAATAGAGCATAGCACTTCAAAGATGTTAAGATTTTTTAAATCGATGTCTATAGATCCAACTAATTCTTCGACAATTGTCCACGTATTAGAGTATAAAAATAATGGCTAGATCTTGGACACAGGTGAATCGAGCATATTATCGATAGTTGGCATACTTTCTTCTTCGGGTTCTTTCGCGATAGAAATGCGATTAACGTTCTCATGCAGGTGTTGGATGAAAGAAAAGGTTTTAGGGCTACGTCCTCTAGGTTTTCGAAGGGATATACCTCTGTTCTCCAGGGCAACAAAAGCTCGGCACCGATCCGGCTGTAGGCTTTCCTTTCTTCCTCCGCCATTGGCCTCCTTCCGCCACTTTTCTCGGCTCCTTTTTGCCCCGTTCCATCGTTCTCCACCTCTTCGTCCGACGACGAAGACGCAGAGGAGCTGGAGGAGGATGAGACCTCCGACTTTTTCTTCTCCAGGTTGAGCTTGAAGGTTCATCAAACCGGCATGAGGGATTTCACGTGGTGAATGATGAAATAGTCGATGGGGCCGATGGGTGATATTATTCGAAGCACGAATTCTGTATCAGACCTTGACAGGAACTAGTTCTTACCAGTTCATTGCTCGTGCACACAAGCTTGGCTACTTCTTCGTCCTCCTTCGTCTTCTTCTTATCCTCCGCCTCCTTTTCGGACATCGCGACCGGTTTGTACAGCTTCCTTTTGTTTATCAGCGCTTTCGAGGGCGGACGCAGGTCCACGGGTAAACAGAGATAGATCGAACAGATGATAGATTAGGTTGATTTATCATTTATCTAGGACTTGGCGCGATATACACAGTGATTCTAAATGAACGTCACAGAATTTACAGTGGTCACGTCACGAATCGGAAGAAAGAGCTTTGATAAAGGTGGATCCGAAAGCTTGTTGTTTCTAAAATGAAGATTCAAGCTTAAATTTTAACACGTTGATCGCCACGTCACCCATATATGGGCGACAGTGCATTCCACTGAACAACTAAAAATATAAAAATTCATGAATTTCGATAAAGTTACGAAAATAAGTATTACGATAGATGTTTGATTATGTAGTCTTTAATAGTCTGAATAATTCTTACTCGATTAGAATAAGTTAGAGTAAAAGGTTTTGGAGATAAAAAGTATGAAAACTAGTACCTCTAATTAGAACTGATATATTAGAACTGTCTTATTATCAGTGAATTCGAAGTGCGGTGTCTGCGTGTAAGTTGTACGATACTCGTTCGGAACCACCCTGTATACTTCAGGGAGTTAAGATAGAGGATCGTCGAAACTTTCGATTTTTACTCACCTTGCACGCTATCGTTGATTTTCTTCTGGTCCGCCTGGATCCAACGCCTCCTCTCGGCTGCTTCTTCGTCGGGTCCACTGCGCATCCTGTCTTGGTGACATTTTTGTTAATATTAATCATTTCAGTTCCACGTTAGCATCTTATAATTCACGTTTCAATTAAGTAAACTTGAAATTTCAACTAAAGCAATGCGAACATTATTAAATAATCGATTGAATCGTCCTATGGAGCAACATTTAAGTTGTCTGAGTTTAAGTACGAATTAGTGCTGGAAATATTCCTAACTATCGATTATTATAATGAATTGCGATCTACCAGGCTTCAGCACAAGCACGATCCCGCGGTGTGATTGGTCTGTCGTCCAAATAATTTAGGTTCTTGCACTTCAGGATCATTGTCTTTCGATACAGGTGGATTTTCCTCAGGATTGGATTGCCCATCAAGCATAACACGCGCAATCCTTTCATATCGCCCATGATCTACAACTTCATTCGCTCAAACTTTTGTTCGATATACGCAAAACGCTTCTTTAATGACGCTAAACTAAATAATATTATTCTTGGTTGTAACCGATAATAAATATTCGAGAAATCGAAGTTAGCCATCGGTAAAAGCGTGACGCGTCTCGTTACAAAATGTAACGATCGCTTTCGTAAAAGTTTAAATTACATAACTCGGCGTCCCGAGCACCCGAGGCAGCCGTCGAAGTGACGCCAGAGGCACACGATTAAGGAAACATAACGGACTCACATTAACGACTTGGTCGGTGTCTATCCTGTTGTGAGAAATATCCAGTATCGAGAGACTGTCCAGCAATCGGAGGTGCTCGATGTCGGCGGTTTCTTGTAGGTAGTTGTGCGACAGGTTTAGAGTATTCAGGAACTTCAAGCTGTCTGAAAGCAGAGGCACGTCAAGGTCAAGGTCATCAAGGATATACCCGACGGTCGACTCGAATTCACCGAGATTCTCGATCCTCCGTATGGTGTTGTGCGAGAGGTTCAGAGTATCCAGTCTGGTTAGATGCGAGAGGTTCTCGATTTTGTTGATCAGGTTGTTGTGAAGGTACAAGCATCTCAGCTCGGTTTGATTCTCCAAATTGGCGATCTCCTGGATCCCGTTGTTCTCCAGCCATAGACACTTCAGGCCTGTGTACTTCTCCAGGTTCTCGATGAAAGAGAAACCTACAACACGAAGCTTTTCAACTCTTACCCTTTAGAAAAGGTATAAGGGTGTCCAAGTTTTTAACACATTGTACCAACGCACATCTAATAACAAGGACAACCACATAAAAGACAGTTGCTAATAACCAAAGGTTAATGCGACGTTAAATATCCAAGGAAAAACATGGTACCTATGTAATACAATAAGAACGTATCAAAGTTCAAATGTGCCTTTGAATTTTTCTTAAAAATTGCCCCGAACTTTCTGGATAACCCAATAGTAATAATTTATTTTTTGTATCGAAATCTGGACTAACCTTTGTAGTGAAGATAGAGGACGTCGTTCAGGTGCGGGGTCTGATAGAGCTTGTTCACTTTACAGTGTTTACTCAGGAAGGCCTCGGTCATTCTAGAAGCAGACAGTATTTATTTTGCCAAACGTAGAGCTGTTACATCGTGGAAACGTCATTAGATACTTTTCGTCAAACGTCACTGTGCTTTTAATTCTACCTCACGCCGTGTTTCTTCTGGCTAAAATCGTACACTTTCCCTTTGATGTACGTTCTCTCCGGTTCTTTGCACAGATCCCAGAACGAGGAGTCTTCTGTGTCGGCGATTATGTCCTCTACGATGCTACTAACCACTCTTTCCGCTGGTTTCGGAGTATCGGTGTCTTCTAGGATCGATTCATCGACTCTTGCGTCGGATTCCACCTTCTCTTCGGCTATTTCCGAAGAAATCGCCGTGAAAATTCGAGCAACTTCGCTTTTCTCTTTACTTTCCTTTTCTTCCACGGTTGTTCCAGCGTCAAATATTACTTTCTCTTGTCTAGGTTCGTCGGTTTCTCCTTTTTTCGGAATCACTTGCAGACATTCCTGCAACGACTCCGTTCGACGTTGCTCCTCCTCCTCGAGATCTTTCTGCATAGTTTTAACCTTGAAACTCTCAGCAACCTCATCCTTTGTCAAAGGCATTTCAAAGTGGTTGATCTTCCTATTTATTTCGTCCACGCTTTCATCAGATTGACTGTTATCGTCATCGATGGACTTAACATCGGGCGAAAAGCTTTCTTCGAAAATCCTCTGTTCAGCTACGAGTTTCTCCACCTCGCTGAACTCCTCGGAGAGATTCTTCAACGCTTCGTTCTTTCTACTCTCGATCTTTGCCTTTCCTTCCGCGATCTTCTTCAACGTTTCGCGAACTTCTTCTTCCGATCTGGGACAGTTCGGTTCTGTGATCTCTGCCAACCTCTCCAGGTAGTCTTCGGTACAAATTACTTCTACTCGTTTCGTTTCTTCGTGCTTTTCATCTTCATTTAAACAGCTCTCTGTTGTACAATTTTCCTTTTCTTTTGACTTTTGATCTTCTGATGACATTTCTTCCATCTCGCCTACTTCGTGGATAGAAAGCCCTCCCAAGTTCGATTGAGTTAAAGCTGCTTCCAGTACCGGGTCCTTGATGCTCTCCCTGAACTCGATGTAGCTGGAGATGTTTGTGTTGGACGAAGAATAAATTAGTCTCTCCATTTCAACTTCGAAGTCGCTCGAGAAGAGAGTGTGCAATTGTTGGTCTTGTTCGGTGATCTTGAAAATATCTTTAACTACAATCTCATGGGTTTGGTGTCTTTGGTTATCTTCTTCGCCATCCGTCTTTGACAGATTTTCTGTTTCAGGATTGTCTTCACCTGAATCTCCAACTACATCTTCCACGTTTCGATTCCCAAAGCAACGATCCTTTATTGTCTCGTGATAATCTTCATTCTCGACCGCGTCTTCAGGTTGTATACTCAGTATCTTGGTCGTAGAACGTTTCGAGACGATCGAAACATCCTTTTCCGTCGTTTGATCCAAGTCATCCAAGCTTTCACAGACTTGTTCCGTATACTGTTCGTAGCTCAAGTTCTTGCAGTAATTGTCTCTTGTACTCTCATCCTTACTCGAAGTTTCGTTGTCCTCAGCGTCATAGAAGAGCAAAGTGTCGTCTAAATCGCTGTCACTGTCCTTTTCCGCTTTCGTGGAATTGTAGTAAGACAAATTTTCACTGGTGATGTCTAATATCGCGTCGCAGTCCGAATACGACAACCAGCTGGGTTTGTCTTCGTCGTCTGCTTCAGGTATCGATTCACTGGTAGATTCTAAGTGGATAGACGAGCACCGGTCTCTGTGCAACTCTAATTCCATCTTCGTAGAAATCTGGAGCAACGAGGTCGTCAGAATGTCCAAGTCCACCGACGAATCCTTAGGTATCTTCGAAAATCAAGTAAATTATGAATGACATAATTTTGAATTATGTAATTTCGCAAATTTCGCAAGATTTTACAAAAACCGTTTATATTTTTCGCCAACCAGTTATACTTTTATCCATACATCAGGTTGGTGCATATGAAATGTCGATATATACAAATGAAACTTTAACCATACTAAATTTTTTGTAAAACATTTATTTCGGTACAAGAATATTTTGTATTAGTTGTACACTCAAAGGGTAGAAAATGATGATAACTCCTCCTCCAACCCTGAATGCCCCACAATGTGTATTAACCTCATTTCTTAATTTGTATCGTGCCAAAGTAACAACTTATTCAAAAATTGACTAGAGAGACAGATTTTAACCAATGTACTTACCTCTGTTTCAGACAAAGAGACGCTGCTGGCGGACACGTCAAGCCTGCTTTCAGACGAAAGTTTGTTCTCCGCCAAGTTCAACTGGAAGTCACAGTCCCTCTCCATCTTAACGAAAAATATCTATCTACCAAGAATAATTGCGCGACGTGCTTCTGCGGATCCTTAGGTTATCAAAAATACGTGAAAACCTACTTCTCCGTGACCGTTAGTTGAAAACATAAGAAACTCGCCGTGCCAACGTTTGTCTCCCAGGTTTCGTTTGATCGATATTTCCGTAGACGATGAAACTTTATGTTGAGCTCTGCTTAGAAATTAATTTTCTTCTTTCTTTACCATTTATATGGACATTTTTAGTTTTCTAGTATTTAAATATGTTTCAAATCTTTTCAGTGTCAACATTTTTCGAGTTTTTTTTTCAGGAACTTTTCCAGAAGAAACTTGGCGTTTCCAACAATTAATACAGAGGGACACAGAAGTAGCGCTGCATTGTCTGCAGGCTTCAGATTACTGGTATTTCTTTTCGAATACACATATATAACTAGGATCAGAAAGTACGAAGCAGAGACAACTATTTCGACTAATTAACTATACAAAACGTATCCTACTCCGTTTTCGCGAGAACGGGGAGCATAAACGACGTCTCGAGGGCCAAGTCGCCTCCACGGATATGAGAAACACCTGATTGCCAAGGGGTTAGACTTTGTTATTTTGTTTATAGGGTATCTTGACTCGTATCTATTCCTCGGGCACCTCGCTTTGTTTTCATTGCGTCTGGGTGCCCCCCGATGGCATTTGTTTTTCCACTCGGTTTCAGCCCGAGCCGACGATGATGTTCGTGAATGAATGCTATCAACATAATTCAACGGAAAAGGCTCAGCGGCGATTCGCAGGCGTCGCGACGAATCAGGATCGATGGATTCGTTTGCTTTCAGCGAGTCGACCCGCATCCTCTTTTTTCCCTCAAGGCGATCCCCGGTCGTCTACTTACCAAGACGCATCTCTCTGCGAAGCCACCATTCCCCGCCCCCTCGTCTTTCCACCCCGATGATAACAGATGATTTCGCTTTTCGTTCGCTGTCTCCTGTCTCGCCATTTCTTTACATTTCCTTCTACGAAAGTAACAAACGAATGTATCGAAAGTAAAGTATTATTTCATTTTCGGAATAATCAATTCCGCGTATTCGGCAAACTGCTGTTTCAACTATCGATCCAATTTCTATGCGCCGCACTCCGTGATCCCTTAATTCAACCCCGTTTCAAGCCTCCTTTCTCCTCGACCGAAGGATTCTCTGTGTTACCGTGTCGAGATAATCAAGCCAAGGTTCCGAGGAGGGAGCGTCAGGAGGTCGGGGAAGAATCGGGAAAAAAAGAAGCGAAAAATAAAATATTAATCTCGCGCGTTACCATCGTCCTTTTGGTTTATTCATCGGGACACGATGCAAAATATCAGGTGGCCGGAATTAAAATAGATTACGACCGTATTACCGCATACGAGATTTTGTTCTTGCGGTAGCGAGTAGACAACTCGCCACAGGGTCGACGGAAACAGGAAATTGCACCACAGCTCCATATTCAAGGCGTCCCTCCTGTTTTCTCAGACGCACCTTCCTGCGCAGTTTTCTTCGGTGCACTCCGTGTCGCTTTCTCAAACCGGTGACATCTGTTGTAGAACTTTACTGGAAAGCAACCGAGACTCGTTACGGTTTCCAGTCGGAAAACTCGAGGAACACACTGAACGCGTAACTATTCTCCGAACAAAATTTATTAGTCTTCTTCGTAGATATTTGTTTAGTTTCCTTTAAGTCGACGTATTTAACTCTTTGCAGCCGAGATTTTCTAATTCCAGATTTCATGGAACTTTATTCGACGTTGGTCCACAAAGGGTTGAAACACTTGAAATTATTCTTTAGCGAGTGTTCCATGATTCCAATTCTAAAGTCGATAGTGTCAGATCCCTGGCATAGCGTTCTACATTGTGCAAGAGAGCAGCTTTTCTTACGGACTGACAGATACTAGAAAATCAACGATTTACTAATTTATTGGTGATCATTTACTAGGAGTAACAGTCGCATATGATTATAGAACAAACAAGGTCACTAGAAATTACATTGACTTGTAACTATTGCAAAAAGAAGCCAAACTTAGGAAGGTACTATTTCGACCAAAAATAGGTCGATTAGAAATTCTAGGTGAAAATAATATTCGTTCGCGCTAAAAGTGACAAGTGAGGTCCTCCGAAACGCATTTCGCAAGAATCGACGATCGTATTACTGTTATGGTCGACCGTCGAAAAATGCTGGTACGCATTTTACAAATTCCGATGATCGTTTGTGACGATGCGCTTCTAGTAGATAATATTTCTGGAACGTTTGAGGTCTGCTGACATCGAAAGCGGAGAAGATTACAAGGAAGTTACACGTGTATTTGACACCGCGTAATAAGACACTTGGCTCTAGCGATGGCAACGTGAGCGATGCCAAGCTTTTCGTGCGTTAATATTGCGCAACCATTATTTTTCTAACAACGAGCAACGCTGGCTCTTTGAAAAAATAATCGAGCGTGGTCATCGAGCGGACGATTGAAATTAACAAAGACGAATATGGCACGAAAATGTATCAATTGTTCTAGAAAATATTGTACCTACAAAACACAGTTCCTAATTAGATAACAAGAAATATAATAATTGTAAAAGAATAATTCTGATGCAAGGTACAAGAGTGGAGCTCCATAAACGTATACTGAAATCGGAAAATCCGTACCTGAAAGGATTAAAGATGGCTCCGGTGGAATGGCGGATGAAATGGTAACACACTTCGAGCTGGGAGACGAGCATTTGTTACCGTAAAGCGATTCAATGACTGGAAAACAATTTCAAACCGCGTCTGTTGGTTTCCATGAGCCGGCGCGTGACCATGACCTCGACGATCAGCGTCTCGCGCCTCTAAACCGACTTCATCTAGCTTTCGATCACTTTTTTCCTCACGTCTTGTCGATTCCAGTCCGGTATCCGCGGTAAAAGGAGAAAAAACCGATAATGGCGCGGAGCTCCTGGAACCGGAAAAACCCATCTTTTTCCAGCCGTTTATCCACCGAGGACGATCCTTCACGGATTCGACTTTCGATCCTTAGTTCAGCCACTTTGGATTTCACCGTTGAAGAATTCTGGTCAGCTTGATTTCTTGCACACAAGTGTAGAAAATTGCTTGATCTCGATACGAGAATAGTATATTTGTTAATACATTTACTGTCGGACGAATATTTAAGATTTCTTAAATTTTGCATTTATTAATCAACGAATGAACGATTTTTTCGAAAATCAATTATTGTGTTTTGTCCAATTTTGAAAAGCTCTAAAAAGTGGTACTTTTACTTTTTTAATGTTTTAATATTATGTCTATTTTAGTTTAGAGTGCGTGATGTACTGTAAGAACGATTAGCGCGTGAAGTCACGGACAAATAATTTGTCACCATGCTGCCGATGAATTATTGAAGTACCCGTAGGGGGAACTAGGTGGATTAAAAGGCAAGAGAGATTAGAATTTCAAGTGGGAAGATAAATTTACTTCTCGATGAGTATCTCGTGACCTTGATTTCGATGATCAGTTTCTTTAGGGGTCCTTCGGAAATTCTATCGATTTTTGCATGTCAAACGATTGGAAAGGACGAAAATACATACTCTTACAGACTTGAACAGTTTTCCAAATGGGATTTCGAATTGTTTTTTAATAGCTAAATACAATCGTTAAAAAATAAAAGTTCTTTTCGGAGATACCTTTATTAACATGTCTAGACTGCGTAATGATTGAACCGTTCTATTACATTATAAAACAATTTTTCCAAAAATAAAGGAGTACCAGGAACGCGCGACAAGAGGCACCAGCTGAGATTTTTCAGCATGATTTAATTCGTTCCCCGCGAGACGCTTGGTGACCGTGACCTCGAGGATCGCCCATCACGCACACCACGATTCTCCTTTCGGGTGCCAGTACATTGATCGAGACGAACGCACGATCGAGCCGCTCGCACGGATCACGATTCGAATGCATTATGTAATTGACGAGTCGTGCTTTCCTCCTCCAGCTTGGCTTTTGTCTCGCTTGGTGCCTATTGTAACGCAAAGTAGCCGTGGGTGGGCAGCTTCTTCTGCTTGAGAATTAGGGATCACGCGGCTAGAGCGTAGGAGGCGGAACCGCATTTGAATATATGTAGTTTGAATCCGCGATCGACCGTGCGGAACTTCTGGCCGCACGAAATTCGTTGATTTAAAGAGCCACCGTGGTTCATCCTCGATTGTAAGTCCGCCAGAGTACCGGCGCATTTTAAAGTGTAATGTCCTCCGTCAGCTGATTATTTGACGTGTACCTGCAATGGAGCCAGCTACTTGCTCAATTCCTACGTTGCTCTTCACATGGGTTTCGTTTATGTTTCTTACCAAGCTTCTTTTCCCAGCAGCAACAGCAATCGAGTCCGAGCATGGTAAAGCACTAGGTGTCCCCACCCCCCCACCCCCCACCCCAGTTATCGATTTTGCAACGACGAATTAAGCAATTCCGTCAAGTCTTCGCCCATGCGAGATACCACGATCGAAGTGAGCCGTTCCCTTTCGCCTTCGATCTTGTGCAACCAAGTTACATGGGAAATTTCACGGGTAATCGAAAAGCTCGGTGTCGCACACGCGCTCCACGGACAACTATATCGAGTATCGGTCTGGCGGGCCATGATGAACAGAAAAAGAAATACGGCAATTAGCAAGTATAATCAGCCGTCGGCTGACCTATGACAACTTAACCCTGTCATCATTCAAAGGGCATGGCGCAATTTTGTATAAATTATCAAACATCCACGGACATCGGATCACGACCAGACCAGCGATATCAGCAAGTATAATGAACGATCAGCCGACCTATGACAACGTGTCATCCGCAACGAAATTCGTCTACTTTGTAGGCCAAGGGAAGCTATACGTGTCGAAACGCATTCGTAGCTTAGAAGGAATTAACATTTCGCGTAGGATTACATTCTGGTAAAACGTATCGGTAAGAGACGCTGGTATACTCACCGAAAGACATCCACGATGAGTTAGATATTTAAAGGAACTTTGGCACGGTGGTACAGATGAAAATGTTGGAAACAATTATATGGTTTCTAAGATTTCCCAGCTTAGAAGATAAGGTTGCTGCTTCAGAAGGTATTTACCGACTACGTTGCGAGAACTTGTTGCAACACTCACGGTGTAGCACAGTCGATAGCGTCAGATCCCTAGCATGTTCAGATACACGTTCTAATG